TTTTTTTTTTTTCAACGTTTATTTATTTTTGGGACAGAGAGAGACAGAGCATGAACGGGGGAGGGGCAGAGAGAGAGGGAGACACAGAATCCGAAGTAGGCTCCAGGCTCTGAGCCATCAGCCCAGAGCCCGATGCGGGGCTCGAACTCACGGACCGCAAGATCGTGACCTGGCTGAAGTCGGACGCTTAACCGACTGCGCCACCCAGGCGCCCCTGAAGACACATTTGACACGATTATCAGCATCCTGGGCCAGGGAATTTATTGGGGACGGGGAGGGACAGATGATATATCAGGACGGTCACACTCAGTAACAGGGAATGGTTGGATGTGAAGATAAGAGAATTCTCCGTCCTTTCCTGTTTGAGTTTGTTTCAAACGCCAGTAGTCAGAGCCCTTCCCTCTGAGACTCCAGCTCCGCACTCACTCGTATCCCGGTGAATTTCTTGAGCCGGGTCCCGGGCACTGCCCCTCTTGGCTTTGACCTTCCTCCCCGTGGTCTGGTTTCTGACGATTAGGATGTCGCTGCCCCTGCAGGTTAGTGGTTGTAGGCTGCAACAGCCGTGACTTTTAAGACGCATATACACATGCCTTTCGAGCCCGGGAATCTTACTCAGTGTATCTTGAGAATGACTGTCACGTTTAGACTTTAAAAAAAAATTCTACGGGAGATTCTCACATCCCCAGCAGGTTGAAAAACACCGAATGATTCTGTCAACTAGTTGCAGGCAAAGACTGTAAATTCTAAGTATTGTAGTCGCACCTACACTTCTGTGGATGTTGTTCAGTCGAATCTTATTGAACGTAATTAAATTGACTTTTGCACCAAGATTTCTGTGTAGGTCAGAATCTGTGGTTTTGCTGCTATCACCCTTCTTTACGCTATAGATCGGGGATTGACAAATGATGCCCCATGAACTCAAGCGCATTCATTTGTGAAATTGTTTATGGTTGCTTTCACGCCACCGGGGCAGGCCTGAGTAGTTGGGACAGAGACTACATGACCTGCAGAGGGAAAATATTTACCATCTGGTCCTTTACAGAAAGAGGTTGTGGACCCCTGTTCTAAATGAATATTTTGAAACAAATATTTTGGGGGGGGCGCCTTGGTGGCTCGGCTGGTTGAGCATCCAACTTCAGCTCAAGTCGCGATCTCAGGGTTTGTGAGTTCAAGCCCCGCATCGGGATCCCTGCTGTCAGTGCAGAACCCACTTCGGATCCTCTGTCCCCGCCACTCCCCCACCCCCCGCCTCTCTCTGCACCCACCCTGCTCACACTCTCTCCCTAGAATAAAAAATTTTAAGTTGATGTATTTATTTTGGGAGAGAGAGAGTGGGGGAGGGGTAGAGAGAGAAGGAGACAGAGAATCCCAAGCGGGCTCCATACTGTGAGCACGGAGCCGATACGGGGCTCGAACATGCGGACTGTGAGATCATGACCTGAGCCGAAGCCCAGAGTCTGATGCTTCCCTGAGCCCCCCAGGCGCTCCCCCCCGAATGGATATTTTCATGTAAGCCAGCATGCCACGCACGCTCTGGGTCCTCGTGAGACGGAATGCTGGTAACGCGATTCTCCGGCTCCCTGGGAACATTTCTGTCTCAACTACAGTGTATCTTGCTTTCTTCCCTCCTTAGACTCACTTCTCTACTGTCTCCGCTGGTGAGCCGGAGGGGCTGGACGCCCACCCCCTTCCGTACCAGGCCCGTATTTTCCGCCGAAAACAAGAGCGCGATGAACGGGGTGAGCGTCTAGTCTCCTTTGGCGGGGGTACCGTTTCGGTCAGCCGGGGCTCCTCGGAAATCACAGTGCAGCTAACTCTACCTCTGTTCGCCTTCCAGGAACCGATGAACATCAGCGACGTCTTCGGTCTGAGTGAGGATTACTTTGGGTCGGGTAATAATAGCTCGGATTACTCACTTGATGACAACACGTTAGTGTGCTCCCTGCAGGAGGTCAGAACGTTCTCTGGGCTGTTTGTGCCGATCGCTTACTCCCTGATCTGCATCTTTGGCCTCCTGGGCAATGTTTTGGTGGTGGTCACCTTTGCTTTCTACAAGAAAGCCAAGTCTATGACAGACGTGTACCTCTTGAACATGGCCATCGCCGACATACTTTTTGTCCTCACCCTCCCGTTCTGGGCCGTCAGCCACGCCACCGGCGAGTGGATCTTCAGCAACGCCATGTGCAAGCTGATGAAGGGCATCTACGCCATCAACTTCAACTGCGGGATGCTGCTCCTGACCTGCGTCAGCATGGACCGCTACATTGCCATCGTCCAGGCCACCAAGTCCTTCAGGCTGCGGTCCAGGACGCTGGCGCACCGCAGGGCCATCTGCTTCGTGGTCTGGGTGGCTTCGGTCCTCATCTCCGGCTGGACGTTCACGTTCAACCAGAAGTACGACGTGCACGGCAGCTACGTGTGCGAGCCCCGGTACCAGGCAGTCTCGGACCCCATCAAGTGGAAGCTGCTGATGCTGGGGCTCCAGCTCCTCTTCGGCTTCTTCATCCCGCTGGTGTTTATGATCTTTTGCTACATGTTCATCGTCAAAACCCTGGTGCAGGCTCAGAACTCCAAGCGGCACAAGGCCATCCGCGTGATCATCGCGGTGGTGCTGGTGTTCCTGGCTTGCCAGATCCCCCACAACATGGTGCTCCTGGTGACGGCCGCGCAGCTGGGCAGGATGAACCGCTCCTGCCAGGGCGCCAGGCTGCTGGGCTACAGCCAGAACGTCACCGAGGTCCTGGCCTTCCTGCACTGCTGTCTCAACCCCGTGCTCTACGCCTTCATCGGCCAGAAGTTTCGGAGCTACTTCCTGAAGATCGTGAAGGACCTGTGGTGTGTGCGGAGGAAGCAGAAGGCGTCGGGCTTCTCCTGCTCCAGGCTGCACTCGGAAGCCTTCACCTCCAGGCAGAACAGCGAGACCGCGGACAACGACAACGCGTCGTCCTTCACCATGTGACCGGCCCGGGGCCGTGGCCCCCCCGGCGGCTCGGGGAACGTGCACTTGGACCGGGACCCCGTCCCCCCATGGGACCGGCCGCGGGGGTCTCATCCTGACGGGGCCCCCACGTGGCGTGTCCCCACTTTTCTTCCCCGCAGCCCCGAGCCCCCCGGGGCTCCCCACGGCTGGCATTCCCCAAAGCAGAGAGGACTCTTGGCAGACGTGGACGTTTTCGGAAGCAGGCGCGGAACCGCCCCTAGAGCCCGGTGTCTCCTGGTCACTTCACACACGTGCAGGGTTCGCGAGATGGAAGCAGAGAACGTCACACGAGAGCCTCACACGAGGCAGCGCAGGCAGACGCCGAAATGCGTTCCCCGGGCTGGAGAAGCGGCCTGGGGGACGGGACAGAGCGGGTCGCAACGCGCCGTCGGGAGAGCAGACGTCTGCTTTATTTCCCTGGGAAAACAGTCACTGCAGATACGACAATTCTCCAAAAATCTGTTCGACAGAGTTCCACGAAGACGCATGCCATCGGCACACTTTCAGCACACGGAGGGGCTTAATAAATACTTGTTACACAAAGCGTAGTGAAATTGGGGGTTGTTAGGTGTTTAAATCTGAGTTTTAGAATGGAGCAAGGAAGCTTCCTGAGACAGTATACAGACAACTTTTGCTGCGCGTCCACAGCGGGTCAGAAGCGGCACACACACACGGGGGGATGTGGGTAGGAAGCGCTTCACGCTGGTGGCGAACAGGGAGGGAGGGAGAGAGAGAGAGAGAGAGAGAGAGAGAGAGAGAGAGAATCTTAAGCAGGCTCCACAGTCAGTGCAGAGCCTGATGCGGGGCTCGATCCCGCGAACTGTGAGATCATGACCTGAGCTGAAACCAAGAGTTGGACGCGTAACCGACTGAGCCGCCCAGGCGCCCCAGTCATGGAACCAGACTTTAACAGCGCTCCTCAACTTTGCAAAGTTCCTAGACCGCAAGTTTTGAAAGTGCTTTGTAAATATATGAACGCGAGTGGAAGAAGGACGAATATGACAAAAATGCAGGTAGTGTTACAAAGACGCTGACGTGTTTAATCCTGACTCACGTGTTATTTGGAACTTTCTACTGTTCTTGCAAGCTTCAACCGCATCTTTCTATGAAATTCGAAGTGATAGCTTAGGATCCAACGTCTGTATGTTTACAGATAGTTTTGGCTTTGCAAAATAAAACTATTTTGCACGGGAAGTAGGATTCGTCTTCCAGAATCGGTGTTCTGAGTTGGGAGACTGTGGTGTTCAGAGGTCCCACCTCCTTGGAACCTGTCAGCGTTCGACTCCAGAAATCAAAGCACGGGGACATTACTCAGATGCTCCTCTCAGGACAGCTGATGCGCCGAGCGGGTCCCCGCAGCTCGGCGTGTGTCCCCGGCTGGCACAGAAGCACCGTGTCTGCTGGGCACAGCCGAAATAAGTTCTTGTGTATAATTTTTCAGATAAGTGAAGCTTACTTCTTTATGCATTAGCCCATTTAAAATTTCAGCCATAATGAATAAAAACGTTTCTAAAATATGACACATACTTTATTTCATTACATATCGTTTCTTGCTGCCTTGGGCATCCCCATAAGTGTTCGATGCCGAAATGCACTGCCGCCCTCAGGGGACCCAGAGCTACACGGATCCGCTCCCATATTAGGTGGCTCTGGTTTGTGCTTTAACGGTCCCGGTGTCTTCTTTTCACTGGTTTCCCCAAATCCGCTCCCATCGGAGGCTCTGGCTGGACCTTACGTGTGTCTGACATTAAACCACCCTCCGCGCCTTGGCGATGCGACTCTACGACGGCTGGGGAATCACCTATCTGTTCTTGTAAGAACTGTCTTCCCAGGGGCAACGACTTAGGATTTGCCCGTGTGTTGTTCATAAGTTAGTCGTATACATGTGCTTATGTTGATTACATACGCACGCGTGCGGATTTATATACAAGCACAACTACTTGTCCTGGCCAGAAGACAAGTTCTCTTGGTTCCTGTTCCAGAGTAGTTGAGGCGATCCTGAGCACTTATTTCCGGACAAATGAGACTTCGCTACCCATAAATCTCCACAAAGGGGACACCGTGGGCAGGGAAGCATCACCTTGCAGACAGCGTCGTTATTTGCTTCCGGACAGATAGGCTAGTTTTAAAAGGAGGCCGGAAAAGTACAATATTTTCAAATCCTTTGAAGATTTCTGAAAACGCGTGCCAATTCCAGGCACCGCGGAGGTGTAGGAACAGAGAACCTGGTCGAAAGGAATACAGCGTGCGTGCGAATCGCGCGTTAGTTTGGGAAGGTGCCGGAATAAAATGGCACCGACCCCGCAGCCGCCGTGGCGGACCTTTACTGCCTCACGGTCCCGGAGGCTGGATGTCTGAGATCCAGGCGTGGGCAGGGTCGGTTTCTCCGGCGGCCTTTCTCCTGGCGGTGTAGACAGCCGCCTGCTCGCTGTGTGTGACCCGGTCACGTTGGGTCAGGGCCCACCCACAGGCCCTCACTTTGCCTTACTCACCTCTGTAAGGCCCCACCCGTCTCCAGATTCGGTCCCATCCGAGGAACCGAAGGTGAGGACTCCACCAGGTGAGTTTGGGGCCACAAGTCAGCTCCTAACAACCCGTTTTCTGAAGGCGGAGCGACTTTTCACACTCTGGTTAACGTCACACACTCGAGAATTCTTTCCCGGGGAGTCTCCTCCTTCCTGACAAGCTGTGTTGCAAATACCCGCTCCTTTTTCAGGTTTTCAGACGCACGTCCTCACGGAACGAAGGTGGGAAGGGGCGGCTGCCTGGGGTCAGGCCACGCCCACCGCCTAACCAGTGCGGTAACTGAGCGCCCGCACCCACCCCCCACCCACCCGCAACACTCGCGCGGAGAGCCTCTGCCCCAGGATTCCAGAGGCCGGTGGGTCCCAGCCTCCCCAGGCCGCCCTCCAGCTCCTCTGTACTGGGGTGGACAGCGCCCTCTTGTGGGGGCGGGGGACGCAGCGTGGCCGCGGAAGGGGGTGCCTGGGGGGCCCGGTTGTGCCCGCCCCGGTGCATACGCAGGGCGCTCCCGCGGCCGAGCTCGGGTGGCCTCTGCTGTCGCGGCCCCGTTCCGGGAGCCCTCACCTCCTCCCTCGCAACGCTGGGAAGAACCACGATGTCCCACGTCTACTGTGAACTCTGTGGACTGTCATACCCCAGAGAGTCCAGCTCCTGTGATGGAGCCCAACACTCTGCGCCTTGCCCTACAGGGAACCTGGCACGTGCGGTGTTTGTGCTCAGAGATTTTCCACCAGCGGGGGGCGGCAGCGTGCGCAGCTCGGAACCACCCGCCGCGGCTTGTTTTCGCATCTCTTGGCTCGGTGCGCGCACCTGCAACACCGCAGCCGACGGCCAGCGCGCAGTCTCACGCTCCTCCCCGGCTTGCATTGGCTGATGTAATAATTTGTCTCGTGTTTCATTTCGGAAATCCATAAGGGAGCTAGAGGCAAGCTGACCCCTAGGCTGACTTCTCTGTTGTTTTTGAGTCCACGGAGCCGATCCACGATGACCAGCAGGGCGGTCCTCTTGGTGCAGGGGAGCCGCCCCAGCTCCCTCCGTCACGTCTCCATCCCGGCCACCGGAAAGGGGAAAAGGGGAAAGCAGGCGGCCTTTTCTTTAACGGGATGCCCTTCAAGTTGTGGGAGTCGCTTCTTCCTTGGCCTTACCTTCGCCGTGGGGTTACGAGCAGGGGAAAAAAGCCGGGGAGGAGTCCCCGGCCGGCTGCCCACGAGTCGCGTCCACACACCTGTAAAGGCAGGGCACACACAGCGGTTCCGCTGCTGTGTGCGAGGGCAGAAGGGGCGCCGGCAACCCGAACTTCAGGGAGAGGAAGGACAGCGGTACCGCTCACGTGACACAGGAGCAGGTGCAGCCGCGGGGGGGAGGCCCCGCCCCCACCGCAGGGGTCAGAGGCCGGTCCCCTCCCCCGCCTGGCGGGCAAACGCTCCGGGAGACCCCGCGGGGCCAGGAACTAAAATACTGGCTCTGACGGGAAAGGGGCATGTAATAAAAAAGGAGATTCCAGATCGTTAGTTCCACCTTTTGAGGGGAGAGATACAAAAATAAACTAGATGCCTTCGGAGTTGGTAGTTTTAGTAGGAGACCATTTATTTGCAACGAATAAATCGGTTTCACAGAAAGAAACCAAACGTACAAAACGAATGGGATCTTTTACCATTTCCTCCAGAAACTGGTATTTCCAGAAACTTCCAGAAACTGGAGGTATTTCCTCCAGAAACTGGTATAAAGTCGTTATAGGAACTATTAAGTTTCAATCCGATGGCAGCGTGGCTCAATTCATTTTTAAGTTGCCTTTCACATTCACGTAACAGTAGATTGGCTCTTTATTATAATTTTTTTCCACGTGAGTACGTACAGTTTGGTTTTCAGGTCATGGTCTATGCATATGTGTTTATGAATGTGTATGTATTTTATTAATGATCTAGAAAATACAGTATCTATATGCCCTTTAAAGTATATATTTGAGGACAGTTTTTAGGGTCTCCTGAAGTCATAAAGAATAGATTTTTTTTTAAAGAAGAGATATAGTTTCCTCCTCACCAGAAACAAATTCTCAGATTCTAGAATTAAACACTCATTTCCTTAGCTTTCTAAGTTCTGGGTCGACCTGGTTCATTGTCCTCGAATTATTAGGACGACAGGGCAGGAGCGTGGCACTGGGGCGAGTCAGCACGCGGGGAGAGTCCTTATGCTTCCGGTCTGTGCCGTGATGGCCCGGGGCGTGGTGGGTCGTCTCCCCTGCAGACCCCTCGCCGGTGGCACCGGAGCCGGGCCTCACCTTTGGGAAGAGCCTCTCAACGGAGCCAGAGCCGGGCCTCAGTCATCCGGAGAGGGCCACCCAGCGGCCGCCACAGGATCCGGGAGCCGGGGCTCTGGGGCCCCACTGTGGAAACGCGCGGGAGGGACCTCGACAGCCAGGTCATCAGCTGTCTGCCCTTCCCCTCGGACTCCCGGGT